TGGTTGTACAAGGTAGAGAAATTCTTCGACGTTGTGGCCATAGTAGATGATCGGAAAGTTCCTCTTGTTGCTTATAGATTAATAGGTTGGCAGGAGCTTGGTGGCAATGCCATCAAGAGAATAGGGCATCGCAAGGGAGGCATCCCATACGACAATGGCATGTGATGAAACAACTATTGAGAGGAAGATTTTTGCCTGTAAATCATGAATAGATTTTGTTCCAACAATTTCAGAACTGTGCGCAAGGCAAGCGAACGGTAGCAAAATACACCGAGGAGTTTCTGAGGATGCAAACCCGCTGCAATCTCAAAGAGACAGAAGATTAATAGACTATCAAATACATCAATGGCCTAAAGTACGCCATACAAGATAAATTGGGGATGCAGACTATATAGTTTGTTGATGAAGCCTACAATTTGGCACTCAGAGCGGAGAGGTTGCTACCACGTCAATCAATAAGTAGAATAGAGAATTATAAGCGCACTCAAGCAGAGCCACATAAGTTTTCTACTACCAAGGATAAGCAGCCCTGAGTTGCTAATCAAACTCGACCATTTGGGGCATAACATAGAAAGRCTCAAGTAGGGGATGGCTCGAAACCCTAGGATGGAGCTTTTACTAGTAGGGCCAATAATAACCCTTATACCAAGCCAGTGCTTAATGGTCCTTGCTACAAGTGTGGTGAGTGTGGCCACAGATCTAGTGATTGCCCTCTACGGAAGGGTGTTGTTCACATTGGTAATAGAGCAGGATTGGGAGGAAGACAACCATGATCATGACATAGACTTACACGGAGGTGAATTCGATGATATGGTCAATGAAGAGGATGGTGAACCAGTTACTTGTGTGCTGCAGCGAATCCTCTACACACAAAAGGAGGAAATCTCACAGCGGCGGAATATCTTCCAATCAAAGTGCTCAGTCAACCAAAAGGTCTATAACTTGATTATAGATAGTTGCAGCTATGAGAATTATGTTTTCAAGGCACTAGTTGATCACTTGTAACTGACAATAGAACCACATCTAGTCCCTTATCAGATCAGGTGGATCAAGAAGGGCCCTACCATTAAGCTGACAAAAATCTATAAGGTTCCTCTCTCATTGGGTAAATTTTATAGACATTGCCATGTGTGATGTAGTAGATATGGATGCATGCCATGTGTTGTTGGGGCATCCATAGCAATATGATGTTGATTCTACACATACRGATAGAAAAAATATGTATGTGTTTAGATGGGAGAACAAGAGGATTGCTCTTGTACCAAAGGGAGGCTCACCCAAAGCTTCTAAAGTGGAGGGGTAGTCTTTCCTTTCAATATCTTCGTCGGAACTTGAATTTTTCGCAGATATCAAGGAGGCCAAGGAGATGTTTGCTTTGGTGATCAAGGGTGAGGTAGAGCCTGATCGTGAAGTTCCAAAGTAGGTGCAACCCCTGTTGGACGAGTTTAAGGCCCTAACCATGGAACCAGATCATCTACCCACTATGCGTGACATCTAGCATCAGATTGATTTGATTCTTGGTACCACCCTACCAAATCTGTCGCATTACTGGATGAGCCCAAAGAAAAGCAAGATCCTAAGAGAGAAAGTGGATGAGATTCTACACAAAGGGAAAATTCGAGAGAGCATCAAACTTGGCAATGAATGGAAAACAACATTCAAAACTAAGGGGGGCTTATATGAGTGGTTGGTGATGCCCTTTAGAATGTCTAATGCTCCTACTAATGAATCAGGTATTCAGACCCTTTATCGACAACTTTATAGTGGTCTATTTTGATGATATTCTGATCCATAGCTAATTTGAGGGAGAGCATATACAACATATACGGGAAGCACTGGCAGTATTACAAGAGAACGAACTCTGTCAATCTAAAAAAGTGCCACTTCATGACCGACAAATTGATGTTCCTTGGTTATATAGTTGGTGTTGTTGGAATACATGTGGATGATCAAAAGATCCAGGCTATTCGGGATTGGCCATCTGCAAAGATTGTGATGGAGGTATGCAACTTTCATGGTTTGTCCACTTTTTACAAAAGATTCATCCAAAATTTTAGTAGTATGGTGGCTCCCATCACCAATTGTTTGAAGAAAGGAAAGTTCAAGTGGACAGAAGAGGCTAAAAGAAGCTTTACTGAAATTAAGGAGAGCTTCTGCATTAGTACTGGATTTACCAAACTTTGACAAAGTCTTTAATCTAGAATGTGATGCCAATGGGGTTGGAATCGGTAGTGTTTAGTCTCAGGAAGATAAACCAATAGTCAATTTTAGCAGGAGTTCGTGATCTATTCAGACCACCAATTATTGAAGTATTTCAGAAATCAACATCACCTCAATAAGATGCATGCCAGGTGGGCAACTTTTTTAGAGTAGTTTCATTATATTATCAAGCACAAATCTGGCGCTTTGAACCATGTAGCTTATTTATTGAGCAGACGCTCCACTCTTCTCATCACTGTAAGTAATGAAGTTGTTGGGTTCGAATGCTTGAAGGAGCTTTATGAAACCGATGAGGACTTTGGCAATATATGGGAGAAACATACCACCAAACAACCTATGGGTAATTTTCTTGTACATGATGATTTTCTGTTCAAGGAAAACAAGCCGTGTCTCCCTAGAACATCCTTACGGGACAAGGTGATTCGTAAATTACCTGTTGGAGGTTTGGGTGGCCATCTTAATAGAGATAAGACAATTAATAGCGTGGAAGAAAGGTATTATTGGCCTCAACTAAGGAAGGATGCCGGAAATTATGTGAGGAAGTGCCCTATCTGTCAAGTCGTAAAGGGGCAATCTCAAAACATATGTCTTTACATGCCTCTGCTAGTGCCGTCAGAACCTTGGGAGGATTTATCTATGGACTCCCCAAAACTCAGAGAGGAGTAGATTTTGCATTCGTGGTAGTCAATTGGTTTTCAAAGATGGTGCATTTCATTCCTTGCTGCAAGACTAGTGATGCAGTGCATGTGGCAAAATTATTCTTCTAGGAGATTGTGTGCTTGCATGGAGTGCATAAGTCCATCACCTCAAATCGGGATAGTAAGTTTCTAGCTCACTTCTGGTTAACTTTATGGAAGTGGTTTAGTACTGAACTTAATTTCAATAGCACGACACATCCTCAGACGGATGGACAGATTAAGATAGTAAACAAAACTCTGGACAATTTGATTAGGGGCATTTGTTGTGACAAGCCTAAACAGTGGGACAACGCTTTGGCTCAAGCAAAGCTTGCATTTAACAACACTGTTCATAATTCAACGGGGATATCTCCATTCTCCATCATCTACACGAAAGAGCCCAGGCATGTTTTAGATCTAGTAAAGTTGCCTAATGTTTCTGGCATGAGTGTCACAACTAGAGTCATGGTTGAACATCACCAAGATACTGTAGTAGAGGTGAAGCAGAAGCTAGCAGAGTCCAACACCAAGTACAAGGCAGCAATTGACGAACGACGACGAGCGAAGGTATTTGATGTGGGAGACTAGGTACTGGTGTTCTTGTGTAAGGAGCAGTTTCCTATTGGTATCTACAACAAATTGAAGCCGAAGAAGTACGGTCCCTACCAGATCTTAAGGAAAATCAACGACAATGCTTATGTTGTTGATCTTCCTAAGAAATGAATATCTCCAAAACCTTCAATATTGCTGATTTTTATGAGTACTTTCCATATAATGGTCCATCTTACCGAGAAGTTAACTCAGGGGCGAGTTTCTTTCAAATGGACGGGAATGATATGGAACAACTTGCAAATAAATACATGGAGCAATTGGATAGGAAGAAACTGCCTAAAAATGAATGAAAACACACAGTCAAATGGAAACATTCAACTTTCTTATTTGTTTCTTTGTTTGTTTTTTAATTTCATAGTCTTAGTAGAGTTCTTATTTGTTTGTTTTCTTTTAAATTAATTAGGAAAGGTGTTGGAGTTGTCTCATTTCCTATTTGTTTCCTTAGGAATTGGTTTTCTAGTTTGAGTAAATTTGTAAGTCAAGGCCTATAAAAAGAACCCTAAGCCTTTGTTTACAAGTAGTGAATTTCAAATACAATTTATTCAGAGAGTTTCTCTTATTTTTTGGTGCTTTACTAGAATTTCAACCTAGTGGATTCTAGGTCTTTTCTTATCAACGCGTAGCTTGCACAATATAAAGCTCAACCATGGTTTCCATCTTGCGTCAAGATAGCACCTAAGGAAAAGTTGATAAAACATGATGGGACAATTTTGCCCATTCTAATAATGACTTAAATAGTCATTATATAATTTACTTGAAGGATAAAATATAAAAACCTCCCCTAAAGTTTCACTTTCACAAAATCCTCCTTTATAATTACCTTTTTATCAAGTAATGAAGAGTTCAAAGTTACAAAATTACCCTTACAACTTAGTTGGACATCTTTCAATATAATTCAAAATATTAAATTTGCCCTTCTAAACTTCATTGAATCTAAAAAATTTATAAAGTAAAATTAMTTTATTCTTTTCAATCCAATTCAGTGATTTTTTAATTAAAAGTGAAGATTCTTTTGGGGGTATTTTAATAAATTTTCATATGGATATAAGATTAAGACGGGCACTTTCGAAAAACTAGCACACTAAGCCAACGTTTTCCCTCTGAAACAATACTTTCAAAAAGGAAGGTAGCTGCAGGTTTTGAATACTACAGGGGAAGTTTTTGTGAAATTGAGACTTCATGGGAGGCTTTATGATTGTCAGAAACCTCCTGAGGGGAGGTTTTTATATTTGACCCTTACTTGAAATCAAAAGAATACATTTTTTTTAAGCCATCAAATTCATTTGGCAGGTAAGTGCAAATAGTTTGGGTCTAGAGTTTAATAAATAAAACCTGAATCTGAATTCAATGGTAATTTAAAAATCAGATGACTGAAAATTTAATATTTCGAAGTTTCCCGACAGAAATGATCTTTGACGTGAAACACTATTTAACAGTGCGTCCAGAATCCAGTTGTTGCTTAGCCTAGCTGGTTCAAAACAAAACTAGGAATTAAAAGCACGACATTACCATGTTTTTCATTGCAATAATCACACCCATAAATCTGAAACCATTTACTATCAATGCATTTAGAGGTGCAATTAATCTCAGAAAAGTCAGTGAGGGTTCCCCCGGATCCCCTGCCCCCTTTTCTCTCTCCTTTCTCTCTCTCTCTTTTTTTTTTTCTCTTTTTCTACTTCCATCTTTACAAATTTCAGTAGCATTAAATACAACCTCAACGACATGTCCGTGGCAATTTTAGAAACAAAACAATGCATCGATGCAAAAATAATTGGCTAACCAATAAACAATCCATCCTTCTCTGTCATTGACTTCAACTCAAACTCAGCTAATCATCTCCCTCTGTTTGCGCCTCCAACAGTCAGCAGTTGATAATTTCACATGCAACCACGTTCAACGTCTCTCTCTCTCTCTCTCTCTCTCTTGTCATCCAAATCCAATCACCCAGGTCCCTACACTTCTTTGACTGAACAGATCACCCCATCAGCGCATCATGGCAAAATTCATACGAGTTCCATCTATCTTGCGCAGARGGCGTTCAGTATCACGTGGCCCAGCATCAGATCCACGAAGTATTGGTGCCCGATCTCACCATCCCTCCACTTCAGCTTCGCCGGCGCCCTCCCGTAGTGCACACCGTCGTTGCACCGGTTATCGTAGTGCCACGGAAACGTCATGTCGAAATCGTCGATCACGCCCGATACGATCCCGACATCTTTCAGCTTTTCCAACAACACCCCATTGAACGCCTCCATCTTATTCGGGTTGAACGCCAGCGCCCTAGCGTACCCTCCCGTCGCAACCGTTGTCCGGTACACCACATCCGGCGCTCGCTTCCCTCTCTGCTTCACCGATTCAATTACGTCCCTCCAAAACCCCGCCGCGTACTCGGCTCCTTCTGTGAACCTTCTAAGGTTCTTCCAGTGGACGCCGTCGTGGAGGCCCGAGTTCATCACTATCGTATCCGGCACCGTCTCTTCGGAGAAGTATCGCCTTAAAAGATTCCGGTACTCCTCGTCTGAGAGCGAATTCAGGCCCTCGTAATTCTGAGTTTCGTTCCAATGGCCGTTGAAGATGCTCGTGATCCGGACCGATTGAAGGCTGTTCTTTGGGTTCGTGAAATTCAAATCGAATCGTCTTGGGACCGCACTGATTTCCGGCAAGTCCAGAACGAAATTCAGTAGGTTCCGTATCGTGTCTACATGGTTCGAATCGCCCCAGAAGAATAGCCATCGGTTCTGCAAGCATTCCCATGCGGAAGCTGGAGTGAAGATCCGAAAGGCGCAGTGGGTGGAGTACACCCAACCATTACTCTCTAGCAATCCCAATGGGCCTTCACACCACGGCTTCTCGCAAGGGAAATCGGGGTTCAGGCACCGGTACCGCCCGTCGTCACTAATCTCGCAGGTGTCGTTCTTGCCGTGTCGCGTCCACCGGCCGGACCATACGTCCCTGGAAAAGTCGGATTTCTCGCAAGCCCGCAGTTCGGACAGCTGAGCTTTCCGTCTGTAGAACTTTATTGGAATTCGACGTATCTGCCTGTCGTAGGCGAATCGGGCCGGTGAGAACCTGAGCCCCTCGAAGTGTCGGAAGAGGAGGATGACTGTCAGATTGTACTCCCCGGTGTATTTTGGATGGACCTGAATAGAAAAAGAATAAGAGCCATTACCGAGGTCTCTCACTGGCGGTCGAGATTTCCACAGCTCGCCGGAGAGGTCAGTTTCAAAATAGTCCCCACCCACGCAACGTGGTTTCCCGGACTCGTCCAACGCCTGGATAACAAATTCATGGATTTCTCCAGCTGATAGTTCCACCGCCGAGTTTCGATCATCCAAACCAGGGATTCTGATACCAACCGTTTGTGAATCTTGACAAGTTTCACGTCCTGAAGCTGACCATCTTGAGAGGAGATTTGACGTGAAGTTCGGCTCTAGTTCCGCAGAGATCCAACGTATACCGAGCGGAGCCGGCGACTGCGTCAAGCTCATCAAGAGAGGCTTACCGGGGATGGCGGTTGCGTTCTGTTGACCGACCATTGCCGATTGATCGAGGGAGATATTGTGGCTGAGATCAACCGGCGGAATGTGGGAGCTGAGGAGAGTCGGATTTTCATGGTTTTGAGTCTTATTAACCGCAGCCTGAGGCCTCAGGGCTAAATAATCTTCCTGGTTCCGCCAAAACCTGACGCTGTCTGTGATCGTATATCCGTCAATGCTCCAAATGATCAATATCCCTAAAAAGATCGTCCCTGTTAAGATCGGGAAATGCCTCGGAGACCACGTCTTGGGCCGGAAAATGGGATGTTGCGAGGCGTAATTCACTCCATTCTCCGGCATCTTAAACAGAGAAGATAAATAAAGTAAAGCTCCATCAAATTATTGCAATTCACCGTTCTAAACTCTCTACAGTTTTATGAACTATTGCCAAGGCAACGCACATTCCCTATATATATATATATATATATATTCAAGGAAATAAAAATATATTAAAACCCATGAACTGGAGATGAACATGAACTTACCTTGGCAATGGCAGATCCAAGCTAGCTGAGTCACAATTCACAAAAAAGACAGGGGAGCATAGCTAGCCACTCGCACAGTCGTACTTCCCCATCTCTCCCCGTTGTTGTGAAATGAGCTTGTTCTAGGGCTTCAGGCTGGGTTTGCTCTTTCCTCACTGGTTTTAATGGATTTTGAGCTTCGGATTTGTCATATGAGCATTTTCTAGGGCGAAAAACTGCGTTTTCGCCCCGAAGCTCTTTCCTCACTGCGTTTTCTAGGGCTAAAAATCGAGGATGGTTACTTATAATTAAACAAAATCCAGACGAAACTCAATCCTTCTGAAGATTAATTTCACCTATAATCTAACGACAATGAAAGGGAAAAAGAGAAACGAATATCTCAAAAATCTTTGTAGAAATCAGAAAAGAAAAAGAGAAATGAGGGCTCCATTTCTGGTCAGCAATGGGGAAAAATAGTGAGGTATTAAAAAAGGAAAATCAGACTAAAATAGAAGTTCGTTAATCGAAAGAAAAGAAAATAGAGGAAGAAATCGAGGGAGAGAAGAATGGAGAAGCTCGACCAGGGAGTAGATGTCTCTGGACACGGACCAACGGAGATTCGGGGAAACACAAAGACAAGGTGCTTTATTGGTTATTATCATAATCTTCCTAAAATAGCCCTACCTTTTAATGTAATGATTCCAATGCCTCCAATAATGAACAACACAACAGTGACAAACGACACCCGGACTGACGCCACGTGTTCCGGTTATGGGTAATTACGTCTTTCCAGGACAGCGCGTGATCGTCTCCAACATCACGCCGAGTGAGGCCACGTGTCAGAAATCGAGCGGGGAATGGTAAATGGTAGAATTAGAGTTGGGTTTGGATCCGAAAGTAAACACACATCTATGTCGGGGCGCAATCCGAACCGTGAAAGTTCAACTTCTAAAGTACGAATATTGTGTGCCTCTCCACTTCTCCGGTTCTGTGAGTAGTCGGGTCGGGTCATACTTAAGAGTGTGGAGACGTCGATTATTGTGGGGAACTCAATGGGTGGAGCGGTTAAACTTAACCGGGTGGAGGGTTAATTTTGCTAGAAATGTAAACGGATCGGATATGATCGGATTCGAATCATGATATATCTAAATCCGATCCGATAATTGTAGGTCCGATCCAAATATCCCATGGCATCGCACACGCATTGATTTGGATTTGAATCCAATAAAACGTCAAACATCTGAATCTGATCCATCTGATTTAATTTTTAAAAGAATTAATAAATTATTAAAAAAATATAAAAAACAAAAAATAAAAATAAATTTCAATTATTTTCATCATATATATATATACATGTTTTTTATAAAAAAAGGAAAAAGAAAAATGCAATATATTTGCACCCCTAAATTTTGCCTGCAACGTCATCCGGCGAATTATCTTTGGCTTAAATGTGGGACCCATTAATATTTATTCCATCCATTGATCTCTTGCGGATCCCGTGGCAGATGTTTCGGTACATCGAATAATAGCCGAGCAATTGCCATCCTCCGTTGTCTAGGCGAAATAGACGTCGTCGACGCAGTCACGCAGTTGCCTTGGTACCTTGAAAGCTTTCCAACTCAACACACGTATTGAAATGAGAGAGTGAGAGAGCGCATTCAACAGAAAAGCAATGTTTAGAAAATCAGACTAGATTGACAAGATTGATCGATAGTTGAACCATGATCAGGGCACTGGTTGATTCAGCCATATCCTAGAAACCAAATTAAAAATAAGAAACTTGCCAAAGTATGATATATATAGATTGTAAAAATACATTATATATAGTGTTACATGATGGTTCGACCTCCAATTTGACTCTGGTTGAACCTTTGACCTCCCGTCATTCGAATACAGGTTATGTAGGTGTCTCAAAAACATAACATGTTATAGAAACATTCAATTTGATCAAAACTAGCAAGTAAGTCCATGCAATGCATGAGGTTGAATAAAAATTTGGTTTTTAAGGTTGGCAAATATCAATTATGACATTAATTAGGTTGTCTAGAGTTTGTTTTGGGTTGGCCTTTAATCAGATCCAATTCATCTTATTTATATTTCTTTTTATTAGGATATAGGGCCCGTTTGATAAGTCTTTTTGGGAAGATCTTCTGATAGGTCTAATGGTCAAAAGATACATTGAATTTTTGCACGAAGATCTAAGTAGCCCAAAGCTAGTTTGACAGACACACGTCTTTCCGTGTCTTTCTTTGCGAGAAAAAATGCRAAAAACTTCATTTGAAGCTTTCCGAAATCAGCCCAAAATGGGTTTTTCACATCTTTTCGGCACTCCAGCTTTTAGTGGCTAGATCTTCCCCAAACCAAATAGAAATAGACAAAAAATCAGTCTGCTCAGTTTGTAAACAACTGAAAGACTGTACAAAAAGATATGCCAAACAGGTCCATAATTAAAAGAGGCTCAAATAGATTTAAGAGGAAATGAGGAATTTAGGTTGCATTTGGTATCAATGCTGTTTCTAAGTGAAATGTTTATACTTTGAGAGGCTGTTTATACTTTATAATTGAAATATGTATACCTTAAAATGCATGTGTGGGGAGGTTGTTTGTAGAAACATCGAATTGACGATCAAGTAAAAATGATAATGTTGCTAATCATTCTAGCTGAACTGACTTTCATATGTGATGCGATAACATATTTCTCATGAATTAGTATCCATTAATACAACATATTTTAGTTTTTAGATAGAAAAAGTAATGGTACCAAACATAATCTTAACAGGGAGGGGAGATGTTACATTGAGTATTGGAGAGAGAGAGAATGTGTGTATATGTATTTTAAGAATAATATTAGAGTAAACATGGGTTTTATTAGAGAAAATTAAGACTTCTTATATTCTATTAGAGAAAATTAAGAATAATCAATGGTTTTTATTATGACTCTTTATATTTATAATATAATAATTTAATTTAAAAATAAGTAACCACATTTATGAAAATTGAGAGGAAAGGGAGGTCCATGTGAGCATTGAGGTGAGAAGATTCTTGGCCTCCCTCTTGCCTCTTTATAATATGGATATAGATTACTATTATATATTCCCTGTTTCCATTGTTTACTGATAAGCTACATTTGATTATTCATTATGAACGTAAACCATGGGGACCTCTCACTAATTCCCATACTTGGTTTGAACTGATAAACCCAATTGGATTGAGTGATTAACCCCCCATTTGTAAGTTGAATTGGGATCTGTTCCTCACACAGCGCACCTCACAAGCACATCTCTCCATGTGTTGGGAACATCTCCCGTAAATAGTAATACATAAGTACGTGAGATGTTCCTGATACATGGTGGGATGTGCCTGTGAAGTTGGTGTGAGGTGCTTTCTATGAGGAGAAGATCCGGTCTCCTGTAAGTCTGCACTGTTCTTCTTAGGGGGTGCTCTTTTTTCAGATTTTGAGAGGGGAAAAGTTGGTCAATGGAATTTTAGTTCCCATTGACCAAAAATCCCATGTTCTGTTTTCAGATTTATGTGGGGACCAAGGAAAGTTTATTTTTTTGGTACCCATTCCCACCTAGGGGAAAGTTGCCAACACTTGAATGGGACAAAAATGCCCCTTTATGGCTAAAATGGTTATTGCCCTATTTACATAAGAAATAAAAGAATATAGATAAATACATTTACCCGGGTAAGTGTTTCTCAGGAAAAACTTACCCAAATAACTACATTTACTTGGGTAACTAAACCTGTGTACATATATGTATTAAACCTCATTTGCACCCCAAACAAATGCAGCCTAATGAAAGCTTTCACCTTTTTAAACTTAATAAAAATGCTACTTGCAATTCAAATAGATTCATCAGAAAGTCCTAATTAATTATTTTCTTATTTAATATTTTAGTTGCTTAAATCTCATCCAACAACCCTGTAGTTCAGTCCGTTGCATGACATACATCCTTTGATACGAGGAGGTATGGGCTCAAACCCATTATTAGTATACAGGTTCTCTGTGTTGTTCTAGTAGTGGACCTTATGTGCACCACATTACTAACCCTACTAATCCATAGGTCTGCCATATTGTCACGAGGCTAATCGACGGGG